TTGTAGGCTTCCGTCCTGGCCTCCCTCTCCTTGGCCTCCATATTGCCCTCACTTTACGTCTGTTCCACCTCATTAGACATACTTCCTTCAGACTCTGCAGCCCAGCCTCAGCCTCAGCTCACCAGCAGATGGAAGAACCAGCGATGGAATCTCTGTCTCTCTCTCTTTCTCTCCCTCCTCTCCCTCTCCCTCTCTCCCCCACCACCCCTCTTTCCAAAGAAATCATTTAAAAAGAGAGAGAGAGAGATTGGATTCAGGAGCTGCAGGCAAGGATTAAACTCAGGTATTCAGGATGCTTGTTTCCCAACCACTGGACTATATGCCTGCTCCATTTTGTAACATTTTCAATGTTGTTTGTTTAGTAGCTGCCCTTGAGTTTGCAACATGCATTTACAGCTAATCTTAGTCTATTTTCAAATATTCTGCTTCCTGGATACTGTGAGTGCCTCATAATAACAAAATATTCCCCATCTCCTCCCATTCCTTCAGCCCTCATGCATATTTTCCTTTCAGTGATAGAAAATATATACACATGTAATATGTAAATATGAATATATATGAATATTATGTATGCCATTTTTGTGTATGTATTGCATATATATAGCTTAAAATCATATTTAATGTGTTGCTATCATTATTTTCAGCAATCCCATTAGTAAATTAAGAATTAAAAAGGTAAAATTTATATTTTACTGCTACTTTCTTTTTTTCTCTCATGTTCTTCCTTTTTATGTAGATCCAAGTCTGACCTATATGATTTCTTCCTCTCCAGAAAACTGTTGGCATTTCTTGCAAGATAGTCTTCTGGCAACAAAATGACAATTTTTGCCTGCCAAAACATTTACTCTCGTCACTTTTAGAAGACAAGTTTCAGGATACCAATTTCAGTTTGGTAGTTTTGCTCTCCATGCTTAAAATAGTTTTCTCCACTCAGTTTTTCCTTGTGTGGTTTTCTGAGGAGAAGTCAGATGTGTTTGCTCCCCCTTGGATGTGTTTATTCTGCACAAGCTGCATTCAGGACTTGTTTACGGGATACTGCTGTATATAGTGAATATCAACAAGCCTTTGGAGAAGTTGTTTTTTTTTTTTTTTTTTAAGGAAGTATGGGAGGAGATATGGATCATTTTTTAAAAAACTGAGGACAAACAGACCTGTTTAGACTACATGCTTCTAAGTAATGAAACTAAGAATGGATGTGGGTGAGCCACATCATGCATGAGATTTAAAATAGCACTCTTAATTAAAAACACAATTTTCAAGAGCATCGTTAACAGAGAGCATTGAATTTGCCTCCACGCTTTTTCATTGTACTGCAAAGTAAGCGTTTTGGGCAAGGACCACGTGTCAGATTTATCTTTGATCTCTCTTGCCTGCTAAAGGTAGTGACATGATAGGCCTGAATATGTGCTTAAATGAATCAATTAAGGAATGCGGTCATGCATTAAATTCAAATAAAACCTCATGGTGTTTGATCTGTCAGAATTGTGTAACTAAATAACGTTAGATTCTAAAATAGCAACATGGTATTTCACTTGGAGAAAACGTAGATTAATGCTCTGATTTTGAAACTACTTCCTTCTTTCTCAAAAAGTGCAGTAACCTTGGGTGACAGTCATGAAGCCTCTTCCTACTGCAGCTAAGTAACATAGACCCACTATGCCCTCATTTGTAGCACTGATTTTAGGTTGTCTTGACAAATTCCAAGAGTTTTGCCATACCATTCTTGTTCGTACTGGTTTGTCTGGTCTATATTGATATCTGTCACAGGTTTCCAATCACTACTGGCAAACATTTAGTTCACTTACTCTATACAGAACAGTTCCAGACTCTGCCGCTGGGATAGAAAATATATCTCATTTGGAGTTTTACCCTGTGGATACAATTTGAAATAGAATGAAAACCATTGGCATAGAGTCCCTTTTAAAGGTTTACCTGTTGTAGAAGCATTTGAAAGAAAGCATATTAAGGGCAAAGGTAAATATTTACTTAAATTATTAAACATCTTGAGATTTTTTTGCTATGGCCCTGATGTCATAAAATTATATTTAAGCTATTGTGATAACTTTGAAATCATAGATACAGAGGTTAGTATGCATTGAGAGGTACATAATGTATATACTGTTAGCTTGCTTGAATTAAAGGTAGCCATTGTATATTTTAAATTACTTTAATGTTGAAATTTGTATGTAGTTTAGAAAATGGAAGGTATGGTCCGTTGAGAGTTGGCTTTAATCCTCAAGTAGGTTGGCTTATACTCAATTTCAGGGAGACGACACACACATGCCTAGTAGGATAACTCAAACAGTAGGCTTTGTAAGGCAAAAAGCCTATGAATATCATGGAGAATAAGAATTTCAGGCTTTGTTTTTAATATTTATTAATTAATTAATTTGAAAGGCAGAGTTACAGAGAGGCAGAGGCAAAGAAAGAGAGAAGTCTTCTATCTGCTGGTTCACTCTCCAAATGGCCACAGCAGCTGGAACTGCATCTATCTGGAGCCAGGAGCTTCCCTCAGGTCTCTCAGGTTGGTGTAGGGGCCCAAGGACTTGGACCATCCTCTTCTGCTTTCCCAGGCCATAGCAGAGAGCTGGATCGAAGTGAAGCAACCAGAACTCAAACCAGCACCCATATGGGATGCCGGCACTGCAGGTGGTGGCCCTACCAACTATGCCACATAGCTGGCCCCAGAATTTCCAATATAACATTTTTTCCTACTTGCATTTCCATTGAAGAAGGGGTTGATGATGAGATGTTAGGAATCTATTATTAAATGAAGGCATGAGGAATCTATTACAGCCCTCCTGCATTACTCCTTCTTTCCAGCTTATGCAGACTGAATTTACAAATGGTTTTGGTGCTTCTATCACACAGTAAATGATTTTTCCAATGTAAGCCATATTTATTCCTATTTTACTCAATGTTAGCATTAAGACTTAATGATAATGCTAACTAACATTTTTAAAAAACTTAGTTAAGGCCGGCGCCGCGGCTCACTAGGCTAATCCTCCGCCTTGCGGCGCCGGCACCCCCGGGTTCTAGTCCCGGTCGGGGCGCCGGATTCTGTCCCGGTTGCCCCTCTTCCAGGCCAGCTCTCTGCTGTGGCCAGGGAGTGCAGTGGAGGATGGCCCATATGCTTGGGCCCTGCACCCCATGGGAGACCAGGAAAAGCACCTGGCTCCTGGCTCCTGCCATTGGATCAGCGCGGTGCGCCGGCCGCAGCGCGCCGGCCGCGGCGGCCATTGGAGGGTGAACCAACGGCAAAGGAAGACCTTTCTCTCTGTCTCTCTCTCTCACTGTCCACTCTGCTTGTCAAAAAAAAATTAGTTAAAATTACATTTGCATATGAAAGTGGAGACAAACTTACTAATTTATTCTACTTCTAAATATACGTAAAATTTTCTTGAGGAAATAGATGGCAGTCAAGTTAGAGAGGGCTAGTTCTTGAAAAGGAAGTTGTCATATGTAATCATTTAGGAACGGCCATCTGGAGGCATGGATGCTCTTCACTCTTCACAGTTATTTAATTATGTTCTGGGTGGCATTTCATTGCTTGGTGTCCTTTGTGGATATATCATACTGTGTACATCCAGTTGCTGAATCACAGTCATAGGCCGATTCCATATTTCAGCTGTTGTGAGTAGCACTGCCATAAACATGGAATGGAGATATCCTTTTGACGCACTGATGTCTTATCTTTTGGACGTATACCCAGTAATGGAATTGCGGGATTTTGCTCAGTTCTGTTTTGTTAGAGAGACTCCCATACTATTTTCCATAATGGTTGTGCTAATTTGCCTTCCCACAAAACACTAAAAAAATTTCACCTGTCTTGAAATCCATGCCACCCTTTGTTATTTTTTGTTTTCTTCATGATAGTCATTCTACCTGGAGTGAGATGATAATCCTATTCTGGTTTTAACTTGCATTTTTGTGTTGATTAATGATGTGGAGAATTTCTTCATGTATTATTGGACATGTGCATGTCTTCTTTTGAGATGAGTATGTTAAGTTCTTCAGCCTAGTTTAAAAATTGGTGGGTTTTTTGTTGTTGTTGTTGTTGCTTTTTTTTTCTTTTTTTTTTTTTTTTCAGCCCTGGGTTTTTTGAGTAATTATGTAGTCTGGATATTAACTCCTTTTAGAAAACCTGAGAAGTACTGTGTGGCATTGTATTGGGGACAGGTTTTGTTATTTACTTTTTGACATAGAAGCACAGGCTAGACTGGCCTGAGTCGGTGGCTCGGGGCTTCTCCCACACCAGGAATCTGAAGCAGTGTCAGTGGCCGCGGGCTTAGCAGGTTGGAGCTGGATGGACCTGATGCAAGGTGGTGGGCACCACTGGCACAGCACCCCAGCTGGCTGCATGGGGGAAGAGGCCCGGGCCCTGCTGCCCACGTGTGACTCTTGGGGGCTCGGCTGCCATGCCACTTTGTCCTGGGAGGCCCTGCTACATGCTGCTGCATTCTGGGAGCTGGGAGCCCAACAATGCCCTGCAGGTCTAAGGAGCCTGCCCTGGTCCCTGCACTGGCTGCAACCACTGGAGAATGAAACACCCCCAGATAATAGCACCCGTGGCTTGGACAAGGAGCTCAGTGACCTCCTGGAGTTCAGCATGATGTTCCTGCTGCCTGTGGCCAGTGGAAAGGGCTGGCCTGTCTCCTTGGCCAGCACACAGCTCAGAGGAACAGGTTCGGAGGACTGGCCCGGCTCAGGATCCTGGGATGCTGGCGACCAGAACACCTCCTCGTTCGACCCCAGCCAGAGCTACAGTGAAGGACCCACTTCAGTGAGTCCCACAGCAGCCTTTCTTGGTTCACATTCCTGGGACCTGGACCTGGACCTGGACTTGGAGGCAAGGGAGGCCAGTGGGGTGGGTACCTCACCTTCTGGATAGACACAGCTTTTGGTGGCTTGACTCAGGTCAGGTTCCTGACTGGCGAGCTGGCCCTGTGCAGCCCCGGGCCATTGTCCTCAGACATCAAGGGTAGCACCCAGTACAATGCCTCCTAACCTGGCAACCCTTGGGGCAGAGCCTCAGGTGGCCACTGGGCCCACAGCCCAAGAATGTCCAGAAGATTCTACGTGTTCTTCCTTCCTCATTGTACCCTCCCACCTCCACCCCAGCTTAAGTGATGACTAAGGCAAGGATGCCTGTGCCTACCCATCTGCCAAGACTCCCTGTAGCACCTGCTCTGCAGCCTTCTACTGGCCAGCCTGCACCCTTCCTTGGAGCTCTAGAGCCCTTCAGACCAGGATGGTTTCAGGCCCATGCTGGGCAGGAGCTCATCTGCCTGCCCCTTTGGATGGGCAGTGGTGATGGGTTTTGAGGCCACAGTGCATTTGGTAGCATGTACTAGGAGCATATGGACTACTAGCCACATGGAGCCGAGGTCAACAGTGGCCTCCCAGCCATGTCCACCTTCTCAGCACCCCCATAGCTGTGTACGGTGGCATCTCCAGCAACACACCACCCATCCCATCAGCGGGGCAGACAGCCTCATCGGCTCCCAAGAGACCATGGCCACCAGCAGGTATGGTCTCTTATGTTTGTTTGTTTATTTGTGTGTGTGTGTGTGTATGTGTGTGTGAGGGATTGGTTCTTCTGTCTTAAAAACTATTCAAAAGAGAAAGAAGAGAAACAGGCATGTGCCAGTTCAAACAAGAACAGATCCCATAGATGGATCAATCCCAGTATTCCTACAGCTCCTGGAACATGACCAGGCTGAAGCTGGGAAACCAAGGCTTTGAAGCACAGTTCAGGTCTCCCAAGTGGGCAACTGTGAGAGAACTACTGGAGACAGCATCAGCTGTCTCACTGGAACCATGTTTGTAGGAAGCTGGAGTCCCAGGATGAAACCCAGGCACTCTCTTATTGGACCTACATAGGCCTCTTCCTAGCCTCTTAACTGTTTGGCTAACCGCTGCAAAGAGGATGGTTCCCCTCCTCTTTCTCCCCTTAGTGAATGCCTATAAGGAATTAGTTCCTTTCGTTTTCATCCTGTAGTTACTAACTCAGTAATGTGCCAAGGACTTTACTGCTGTAGTCTATCATTCTAATAATTTTCAAGGTTTCTTTCATAAAAAAGGTTAAAAAGTGGAAAAAAGAAATGAGTTAAGGTTTTAAAAATAATTTAATAAAAGGAAAAGTACTCCACTGAACATTTGGCCAAATATATGATTCCAAGGTGAATGTGGATGCCTTTCTTGTCCTAATGAAATTGAAACAGTTGGGGCTGTCCTTTTTTTTTTATTTTTTTTTGTACAACCTAGATTTGAGAGGCTGATGCCTATGTCCTCAAAGTATTATATTTCAGTTGTCAAATGTAGGTACGCAAAGATTTCAGAAAATGATAACCTTGGAGAGTAGTAAATATGTGTGTCCCTGACAGCGGTTTCGTTTAGTGGTGTTTTAATGAGTGGAAACCATACATGGAAATTGATTGCAGGGAATAACTTATGATTTCCTTGCTTTTAGTAACATACGTATAAAATAATGAAGATTTGATCTATGGTAGCAACTCTACAATCATATATGTGGGCCTGACCTCTTTGATTGAAGCAGCTGCTGCATAGAGATGCAAGCACCTTCATTGAAGCATTGAAGTTAAAAGTCATGTTAGTATTCTTGTCTGCCACGTCTTAAATATATATCATTTTTTAAAAAGGAAGTATTTATTTGAAAGGCAGTTACAGAGAGGCAGAGCAGAGAGAGGGAGGTCTTCCATCTGCTGGTTCACTCCCTAGATGGCCACAGAATCTGTGCTGATCGGAAGCTAGGAGCTTCTGCAGGGTCTCCCATATGGGTGCAAGGGCCCAAGGACCCGGGCCATCTTCGATTGCCTTCACAGGCCATAGCAGCTGGATTGGAAGTGGAGGAGCTGGGACTTGAACTTGTGCCCTTATGGGATGCCAGCACTGTAGGTGGTGGCTTTACCTGCTATGCCACAGCGCCAGCCCCTAAATATGAATCTTTCTAATTTAAGTATGTTAAGTTTCAGTAAACTATTATTTGATAATTCTGAGAGAAATACAGTGGTTTTTGTACTTGAGCCCTTTCTTTTGACATTTTTTATTTTATTTTTTTTAATTGCATTTTTTAACTTTAAATTTCCAAAGTACAGCTTATGGATTACAATGGCTTCCCCCCCATAACGTCCCTCCTACCCGCAACCCTCCCCTTTCCCACTCCCTCTCCCCTTCCATTCACATCAAGATTCATTTTCGATTCTCTTTATATACAGAAGATCAGTTTAGCATACATTAAGTAAAGATTTCAACAGTTTGCTCCCACACAGAAACATAAAGTGAAAACTAATAGATGATTTTTTAAATGATGATGAAACCAGATCAGACCTATTGTCATGTTTAATCCCAGTGAGAGTCAAGTTGGGAATTGATAATTTCTTCTTCTATTTTTTTGTTTTTACAGATGATCAGTTTAGTAGGCATTAAGTAAAGATTTCAACAGTTTGCACCCCCATAGAAACACAAAGTGAAATATACTGTTTGAGTACTCGTTATAGCATTAAGTCTCAATGTACAGCACATTAAGGAAAGAGATCCTACATGAGGAGTAAGTGCACAGTGACTCCTGTTGTTCACTTTACAAATTGACACTCCTGTTTATGGCATCAGTAATCTCCCTATGCTCCAGTCATGAGTTTCCAAGGCTATGGAAGCCCCTTGAGTTCTCCGACTCTTATCTTGTTTAGACAAGGTCATAGTCAAAGTGGAGGTTCTCTCCTCCCTTCAGAGAAAGGTACCTCCTTCTTTGAAGACCTGTTCTTTCCACTGGGATCTCACTCACAGAGATCTTTCATTTAGGTGTTTCTTTTCTTTTCTTTATACTTTTTTTTTTTTTTTTTTTTTTTTTTTTTTTTTTTGCCAGAGTGTCTTGGCTTTCCATGCCTGAAATACTCTCATGGGCTTTTCAGCCAGATCCGAATGCCTTTAGGGCTGATTCTGAGGCCAGAGTGCTATTTAGGATATACGCCATTCTGTGAGTCTGCTGAGTATCTCGCTTCCCATGTTGGATCACTCTCCCCTTTATTTATTCTATTGGTTAGTATTAGCAGGTACTAGACTTGTTTATGTGCTCCCTTTGACTCTTAGTCCTTTCATTATGATCAATTGTGATCTGAAATTGATTACTTGGACTAGTGAGATGGCATTGGTACATGCCACCTTGATGGGATTGAATTGCAGTCCCCTGGTATGTTTCTAACTCTACCATTTGGGGCAAGTCAGCCTGAGCATGTCCCAAATTGTACATCTCTTCCCTCTCTTATTCCCACTCTTATGTTTAACAGGGATCACATTTCAGTTAAATTTCAACACTTAAGAATAACTGTGTATTAATTACAGAATTAAACCAGTCCTATTAAGTAGAACAGACAAAAAAAAAACTACTAAGAGGGATAATGTATTAAGTTGTTCATTAACAGTCAGGGCTATGCTGATCAAGTCACCGTTTCGCATAGTGTCCTCTTCATTTCAACAGGTTTCCTTTTTGGTGTTCAGTCAGTTGTCACCGATCAGGGAGAACATATGGTATTTGTCCCTTTGGGACTGGCTTATTTCACTCAGCATGATGTGTTCCAGATTCCTCCATTTTGTTGCAAATGACTGGATTTCATTGTTTCTTACTGCGGTGTAGTATTCTAAAGAGTACATATCCCATAATTTCTTTATCCAGTCTACCGTTGATGGGCATTTGGGTTGGTTCCAGGTCTTGGCCATTGTGAATTGTGCTGCAATAAAATTAGGGTGCAGGCCGCTTTTTTGTTTGCCAATTTAAATTCCTTTGGGTAAATTCCAAGGAGTGGGATGGCTGGGTCGAACGGTAGGGTTATCTTCAGGTTTCTGAGGAATCTCCAGACTGACTTCCAGAGTGGCTTGACCAGTTTGCATTCCCACCAACAGTGGGTTAGTGTCCCTTTTTCCCCACATCCTCGCCAGCATCTGTTGTTGGTAGATTTCTGCATGTGAGCTATTCTAACTGGGGTGAGGTGAAACCTCATGGTGGTTTTGATTTGCATTTCCCTGAGTGCTAGTGATCTTGAACATTTTTTCATGTGCCTGTTGGCCATTTGGATTTCCTCTTTTGAAAAATGTCTATTGAGGTCCTTGGCCCATCTCTTAAGTGGGTTGTTTGTTTTGTTTTTGTGGAGTTTCTTGATCTCTTTGTAGATTCTGGTTATTAACCCTTGATCTGTTGCATAGTTTGCAAATATTTTTTCCCATTCTGTCGGTTGTCTCTTCACTCTCCTGACTGTTTCTTTTGCAGTACAGAAACTTCTCAATTTGATGCAATCCCAATAGTTTATTTTGGCTTTGACTGCCTGTGCTTCCTGGGTCTTTTCCAGAAATTCTTTGCCTGTGCCGATATCTTGAAGGGTTTCTCCAATGTTCTCTAATAACTTGATGGTGTCAGGTCGTAGATTTAGGTCTTTAATCCATGTTGAGTGGATTTTTGTGTAAGGTGTAAGGTAGGGGTCTTGCTTCATGATTCTGCACGTGGAAATCCAATTTTCCCAGCACCATTTATTGAATAGACTGTCCTTGCTCCAGGAATTGGTTTTAGATCCTTGATCAAATATAAGTTGGCTGTAGATGTTTGGGTGGATTTCTGGTGTTTCAATTCTGTTCCATTGGTCTATCCATCTCTTTCTGTACCAGTACCATGCCCTTTTGATTACAACTGCCATGTAGTATGTCCTGAAATCTGGTATTGTGATGCCTCCAGCTTTGTTTTTGTTGTACAAGATTGCTTTAGCTATTCGAGGTCTCTTGTGTCTCCATATAAATTTCAGCACCATTTTTTTCCAGATCTGAGAAGAAGGTCTTCGGTATCTTGATTGGTATTGCATTGAATCTATAAATTGCTTTTGGGAGAATGGACATTTTGATGATATTGATTCTTCCAATCCATGAGCATGGAAGATTTTTCCATTTTTTGGTATCCTCTTCTATTTCTTTCTTTAAGGTTTTGTAATTTTCATCGTAGAGATCTTTAACGTCCTTGGTTAAGTTTATTCCAAGGTATTTGATTGTTTCTGTAGCTATTGTGAATGGGATTGATCTTAGAAGTTCTTCCTCAGCCATGGCATTGTCTGTGTATACAAAGGATGTTGATTTTTGTGCATTGATTTTATACCCTGCTACTTTGCCAAAATCTTCTATGCGTTGCAATAGTCTTTTAGTAGAGTTCTTTGGGTCCCCTAAATAAAGAATCATATAATCTGCAAAGAGGGATAGTTTGAGTTCTTCCTTCCCAATTTGTATCCCTTTAATTTCTTTTTCTTGCCTAATAGCTCTGGCTAGAATTTCCAGAACTATATTGAATAGCAGTGGTGAGAGTGGGCATCCCTGTCTGGTACCAGATCTCAGTGGAAATGCTTTCAACTTTTCCCCATTCAATAGGATGTTGGCTGTGGGTTTTTCATAGATTGCTTTGATTGTATTGAGGAATGTTCCTTCCAAACCCAGTTTGCTTAGAGTTTTCATCATGAAAGGGTGTTGTATTTTATCAAATGCTTTCTCGGCGTCTATTGAGAGAATCATATGGTTTTTCTTCTGCAGTCTGTTAATGTGGTGTATCACATTGATTGTCTTGTGCACATTAAACCATCCCTGCATACCAGGGATAAATCCCACTTGGTCTGGGTGGATGATCTTTCTGATGAGTTGTTGCATTCTGTTGGCGAGAATTTTATTGAGGATTTTTGCATCTATGTTCATCAGGGATATTGGTCTGTAATTCTCTTTCCATGCTGCATCTTTTTCCGGCTTAGGAATTAAGGTGATGCTGGCTTCATAGAAAGAATTTGGGAGGATTCCCTCTTTTTCGATTGTTCTGAATAGTTTGAGAAGAATTGGAGTCAGTTCTTCTTTAAATGTCTGGTAGAATTCAGCAGTGAATCCATCTGGTCCTGGGCTTTTCTTTGTTGGGAGGGCCTTTATTACTATTTCAATTTCTGTTTCAGTTATGGGTCTATTTAGGTTTTCGATGTCTTCCTGGTTCAATTTAGGTAGGTTGCATGTGTCCAGGAATCTATCCATTTCTGATAAGTTTCCCTGTTTGCTGGCATACAAGTCCTTGTAGTAATTTCTGATGATTCTTTTTATTTCTGTGGTGTCTGTTGTTACGTTTCCTTTTTCATCTCTGATTTTATTGATTTGGGTCTTTTCTTTTTTTAGTTAGTTGGGCCAATGGGGTGTCAATTTTGTTTATTTTTTCAAAAAAGCAGCTCCTCGTTTGGCTGATTTTTTTGTAATTTTTTTTAGATTCAATCATGTTGATTTCTTCTCTGATTTTACTTATTTCTCTTCTCCTACTAGATTTGGGTCTGGTTTGCTGTAGGTTTTCTAGATCCTTGAGGTGAATAGAAAGCTCATCTATTTGGTGCCTTTCCAATTTCTTGATGTAGGCACCTAGTGATATAAACTTTCCTCTTAACACTGCTTTTGCTGCGTCCCATAAGTTTTGGTATGTTGTGCTGTTATCCTCATTTACTTCCAGAAAATTTTTGATTTCTCTTTTAATTTCTTCTATGACCCATTGTTCACTTAGGAGCATGTTGTTCAATCTCCATGTATTTGTGTATGCTCTAGGGATTCCTGAGTTGCTAATTTCCAGCTTCATTCCTTTATGGTCTGAGAAGCTGCATGGTATGATTCTAATTCTTTTGAATTTGCTGAGACTTGCTTTATGGCCTAGGATGTGGTCAATCCTAGAGAAGGTTCCATGTACTGCTGAGAAGAATGTAAAATCTTTAGCTGTAGGATTGAAAGTTCTGTATATATCTGTTAGATCCATTTGGGCTATAGTGTCGTTTAAATCTACTGTATCCTTGTTGATCTTCTGTCCTGTTGATCTGTCTATTTCTGAGAGTGGAGTATTGAAGTCCCCCAGTACTATTGTATTGGGGTCTAAGTCTCCCTTTAAGTCTGTTAACAAATCTTTTAGATAAACCGGTGCCCTGTAGTTAGGTGCATATACATGGATAATTGTTATATCTTCTTGTTGTATTGATCCCTTAATCATTATATAGTGTCCCTCTTTGTCTCTCTTAACAGTTTTTGTGGTAAAGTTTATGTTGTCCGATATTAAGATGGCTACACCCGCTCTTTTTTCATTTCTGTTTGCATGGTATATCTTTTTCCAGCCTTTCACTTTCAGTCTGTATGGATCTTTGTTGGAAAGATGTGTTTCTTGTAAGCAGCAAATAGATGGGTTTTGTTCCTTAACCCAATCAGCCAATCGGTGTCTTTTAAGTGGACAGTTCAGGCCATTAACATTCAATGTGACTAATGATAAGTGGTAAATTTGCACTGCCATTTGCCAAAGATAAGTTGTAATATATGCTTTGAATTCCCTGTGATCTTTTGCTGTGAGGTTTCCTTCCTTTACCTTCTTTCATATTGATGACAGTGTTTCTGTGTTTCTGTGTGTAACACATCTTTAAGCATCTTTTGCAGGGCTGGACGCCCATTTTAGGATCTTTTCTTTATGTTTCACTGTGGAGAGTTTAATTACAACGTGTCGTGGTGAGGATCTCTTTTGGTCATGTTTATTAGGAGTTCTGTGAGCTTCCTGTACTAGGATTTCTCTGTCCTTCTCCAAACCTGGGAAATTTTCTGCTAATATCTCACTAAAAAGGCCTTCTAATCCTTTCTCCCTCTCCATGCCTTCAGGAACTCCTAGAACCCGAATGTTGGTTTTTTTAATAGTATCCTGAAGATTCCTGACAATTTGTTTTAGATTTCTAATTTCCTCTTCTTTTCTTTGGTCTGACTGTATCCTTTGCTGTTCTGTCTTCTAAGTCTGATATTCTCTCTTCTGCTTCACCCATTCTGTTTGTAAGGCTCTCAATTGTGTTTTTCATTTGATCTATTGAATTCTTCACTTCATTGTGATTTCTCGTCACTATCACAGTTTCCTGTTGTACTAGTTGTTTCGTTTCATTTTGATTCCTCCTTAATATTTCATTTTCACGAGAGAGATTTTCTATCTTGTCCATTAAGGATTTCTGTAGTTCAAGAATTTGTTTTTGAGAACTTCTTAATGTTCTTACCAATTTTTTGAGATCTGCTTCTTGCATTTCTTCTATCTCATCATCTTCATAATCTTGAATTGGGGTGTCTTTTTCATTTGGGGGCGTCATGGTGACTTCCTTGTTTTTATTACCTCGGTTTTTGCGTTTGTTATTTGGCATATTGGAGATATTTGGTTTCTTCACTGTGGTGCTTTTTCTTGTTATACTATGACTCTAGATTAAGTGGGCTGTCTGTTTTTGATGGAGCCTTAGAGGCTTGAGATGGGTGTGGCCTAGAGCTCTCTTTGGTGTGCCAAAGGTGACACTCCCAGGTTAGGCGTGGTAGATCTCTCTCTCTTTCTTTCTTTTTTTGATTCAAAAGGGAAGTAATTCCGCACAGCTGAACGAAGTTGGAGTTAGTTAGCAGGCCAATGATATACCCACAGGAGCCAGAGATCGGAAGCTCTTTCCCAAGGACCACACAGGGAATTTGTTCTGCCCTCAGAGTGGGCTCAAAATCTCCTTCAGTCTCCCACTGGGTTGCCAAAGTTACGGAATTGTAGCGTCTCTGGAGAGTACTCATGTGAATTCTGTGAGTTCTGTCCCCCACCGTCTCTTTTTTCACAGTCTCGGTTCAGTAGCACCACAGATTTACTAGGTCCTAATCTCCTGTTAATTCGCCCCACCCAGAGTCAGGTTTTTCTGCTAGGCTCAGGGCCGGTGCAGACCTGAGGTCGCTCTGCTTATGACGTATCTCCAAGATGGCGCTTGCTCTTTGTCTTGCTCGCCCTTGAGAGGTGAGCGGAGAGAGAGAAACCCTTGTCCATACCAGTCACCTTTTTTTTTTTTCTCTCTCTCTCTCTTCCATTTAGCCTGGTGAACTTTCCCCCCCCGGGGGTCGTTCCCTCCAGTCTCCTCTCTCCGCTTGCCTGCGGGTGTCTCGGGCTATTGAGGTTCGGCTCACCTCGCGTTCCAGCGCTGGTGTGTTGAGTCTGCCGCTGGTGTCCCAAACTGTGGGCTCCCACGCTCTCCATGCAGGTCCACTGTGAATCACGGGTTCCAGAAGAGTTTCTTCTGCTGTTTCCTCCCCTACTTTTCCTTGAACCTGCAGTATCTCCACTTTTATCAAACTGTCTCTCCCCGGACTATCAGTGTGCTCCCTTCCTATTCTGCCATCTTGAGAAGGCCTCTTTTGACATTTTAAGTATTGTGACCCTGAATGAATTGTGTTGTTGAATACCAGCTATGTGCTAGTGAAGATAGACAATGAATATACAAGTTGAGGGCTGCTATTAATATACTTGTTACTCACTATGTTGCCAATTCATCTTGTAATCGGTGTTCTTTTCCATGTGTTTTTGTCTGTCACTACAGCTAAAGAAGTAAATAAGTCATGGCACGCTTAACAAAAAGACAACAGGCAGATACAGAAGCTATCCAGCATCTTTGGGCATCCATTGAGATCATAAGGAACCAGAAGCAAATCGCCAACATTGACTGTATTACAAGGTAAGTAAAGCAAAAATACCCTGTAATATTTCATGTAAAGCTCTCCAAAATGCCTGTCTTTTCTGGTAGCCTACACGTGTTAGAGCTGAAGTCACTTTTTTGTCTTGTAGAAATACACTGTTGTTCAGAAAACAAACACAGCAACATACATAAGTAACCTGTATTTATTCATTTTAAATAAAAATATTATAAGTACTATTTATAATTGCTTATTAGCTATCAAGAATTTTTTATTTTTATTCACTTTTTATAAAAATACTATAAGGACTATTTATAATTGCTTATTAGCTATCAAGAAATTTTTTTAACTTTTATTTATTTAAATATAAATTTCCAAAGTACAGCTTATGGATTACAATGGCCCCCCCCCCATAACTTCCCTCCCACCCGCAGCCCCTCCCATCTCCCGCTCCCTCTCCCATTCCATTCACATCAAGATTCATTTTCAATTATCTTTATATACAGAAGATCAATTTAGTATATATTAAGTAAAGATTTCATCAGTTTGCACCCACACAGAACATTAAGTGTAAAATACTGTTTGAGTACTAGTTAAGCTATCAAGAATTTTTAACACTTGGCAACTTTATTTGCAGAGTGTTAAAGAAAAGTGATAGTCATACATGTCTTTGAATATTTCTGATTAAAGAAGTATTTACTCGGTCTTATTTTGTTAGGGGTTGCTTGTTGAATTTTAGCAAATATCAACATTAACATATTTTAATGATCTTTTTTGTTTTTTATCTGTAAATGGGATGAGCTGAGATATATATAGTTTTTATACATTATATATATAGTTATATATATTTTAGGTTTGTTTATTTATTTGAAAGAGTTAGAGAGAGGGAGAGACAGAGATCTTTCATCTGCCAGTTCATTCCCCAAGTGACCCCAGTGGCCAGGGCTGGGCCAGGCCGAAGCCAAGAGCCAGAAGGTTCTTCTGTGTCTCCCACATTGGTTGCAGGGGCCCAAGCACGTAGGCCTCCCTCTGCTGCTTTCCCCGGCCATCAGCAGGGAGCTGAATTGGCACGGAAGTAGTTGGGAGCCAGCACACAGATGGGATATCGGCATTGAAGGCAGCAGCTTAAACTGCTGTGACAAAAGGCTGGCCCCATATACTTTTAGATTTCTTAAGTCTTCCTTTAATTCCTAGAATTAAACTTGGTGTAGAGTTCTGATATTTGAACATATTAATGTATTAGTATTTATTAATTTATATTTAATAGTGGACCATATTTTAGTACTCCTGTGGAAAACTTTTTCTATTTTTTTCTTTTAAGTTGCTATTCCGGTTTACTCCCCAAATGCTGGCAATGGCTGGCAGTGTCGGGGTAGCATGGGGTGTCGTGGGAGAGCAGGGATGTGCAGTTCGTCTGTGGGCAGCCGAGGAGAAGGATGCAGTGGCGGTAGCGGGGACTCTGGGGAAGTGTCTGGCGGTCAGTGAAGGAATGCAGGTATGTACTGTCAGTGACGTTGGGGCTCCCTGGTCCCCCACTCCCCTTGGTGAGAGAGACTTCCACTTCCCTGCCCGCTGGACCCCCGGCTCAAGTGTCCCTCCCCTTCCCCACGGCCAGGTCTACTCACCGTTTGTTGATGCCCTGTAAGAAGAGTGGGGTCTGCCTAGCAGTCCCAAGTTCATGGCCACTCAGAGGGCCAGCGGCGAAGCACTGGCCTGCTAAGAAAGTTAGAGAAAACCTGGGCTGGCCGCGGCCTCAGGCAGGTCAGCGTGGGAGTGGCGTCCCTTGCGCCGTAGGCATCAGCGTCGGTGCCTGTGGGGTGTCTGCCTACATGAGGCCTTGGCGTTGGTAGTATCGGCAGAACTGGCGGGGAAGCGCAGTTCAGTGGCCGGCCACGGAGAGAAGGATGCGGTGGCAACAATTTGGGAAGAGTTGGGCGGTTGGCCAGGAAGAGCAGGTGTGTACTGGTGGCAGTGGTGACATTTTGGACAGCAATGGCTAAGCAGGCAGTGGTGGTGGTGGAGAAGCGTTGGGGCAGAGAAGCAGAAGACTTCGGCGGTGGCTGCCTGTCTGGCAGCAGTGGGGAACCAAGGGGCGGCAGGGGCCGCAGGTCTGTGTCCTCCGGCAGGGGCTTCAGTGTCGGTAGCAGAGGCCTTGGAGGCGTCAGCATCAGCCTTGCATGGGGCGTCATGCTCGGGGAAGCACAGTTCTGCAGTGGGCAGCAGAGAGGAAGGATGGGGCAGCAGTGGCGACTGCATATCTGTGGCCGTCTGTGAGGCAGCAAAGATCTGCATCCTTGACAGCAACGAGTAGCAGCACAGTGGCAGTGAGGTGGGCAGTGGGGAAGCATCCGGCGTCCTGGGTGGGGAAGTGTGGCTCCGTGTTGCTGTTGGTGAGGATTGCGGCATTCTGGGCGGGCAGGGGAGCAGAAGTCTTCAGCGGCGGGATCCAGGCCGTGGCGGCAGCTCTGCTCAGTTCCGTGTTGGCCAGCAGCGGTGGCAGCCTCAGTGTCCAGGTGGGTAGCGATGTGGGTGTGGGCATCAGCGTCGCGTGGAGCATCATGGGCAGGGAAGCGCAGTTCTGCAGTGGGCAGCGGAGAGGAAGGATGAGGCAGCAGTGACTCTGCGAAGCATGGGGTGGTCGGCGACAGGGACACTTTGAGCAGCAGGGGTAAAGTGGGTGGTGGCAGCAACCCATGGGGTGGTTTTGGTGAAGTGTCGGCGTCATTGGTGGGGAAGCATGGCTCTAAGTCTGCCTCGGTGAAGCGTGGGTCTCCTAGGCAGGGAGGTGTAAGTCTATGGTGGCGGCAGCAACACAGAGGGCAGCTAGGGTCACCAGGTGGCGGGGGAGCTGGTGAGACGAGGGGCAGCAGCGCTGAAGTGTAGTTCCTCCTGGGCGGCGGCAGCAGCAGCGGTGCCTTGGAAGTGTGAGGCGTTGCAGGCTGGGAAAGGGGAGTCTGCATTGGTGGAGCATGGGGCATCGTGCGCAGGGACGTGCAGTTCGGAGGTGGCGTTGACTGTGGCAATGTGTTGGGTAGCGCAGAGAAGCAGGCAGCAGTGGAGAGGCAGTGGCGAAGAAGCCTCAGGCCACGGGCAGGGAAGTGTGGGGTGCAGGTCCCCTTGGAGCCGGTGGGCCTCTCGGGTTTTCATGGCCTGCACACAGAGATGCTCCCCTCCCCCTGCCTTTGCATCATGGCGTCCAAGAGGAAAGGGAGGGTGAGGGGTCAATATTCTTTGGGTGCTAGTTGTTCACAGCGTTTCACCTGGGGACAGGCTGCCTGCTAGCAGTGAGTTTCCTGCATCATCTGGGAACCGCCGGCTTCCAGAGTTGGTGATCCTGGTCGTGCTGGGTTGAGAGCGTCCAGGTGTTGGCAGTGCAGATGGAGAGCCAGATGGCGGGTGTGCCAGGACCAGCCTCTCTTGCCTGGAGGTTGTCGTCCACAGCATTTAGCTGGCTCTGTGATTTGGGTGCCGATGAGACTGTGGCTACAGGTTGTGGCAGGAGTGAACATCCATTTCAGGTTGCAACCCCAGTGTCTGACAGGACCCTCACTATTCCTGGAGGGTCTGGGAAGCAGCAGCCAGCACACAGATGATGGGCTGCACCCTGGGAGAGTGGCTGGGCACTCCTGTATTCCTGCTGGGACAAAATGTTGTCTGGTGGTATATTTTATGTATTTTAATTATTTATTTTTTGTTGTTTCCAATAAAAACTCTTACTTTGGTTTTAATAAATTAAAAGGAATAATTACCGTGCATTCTAGAATATTTTTAAATTGATGGGATAGGCAGATGTATTTGAAATATTTTTGTCTTAAATTTACAGTGTGGAGGATTTTCCCTATTGTCACAGAGTTTGAGTTTCTTTAAATTTTTTTTTTATGTGACTGATGTGGAGAGAAAATTTAAGATTATCAAGGTTTTTTTTTGTTATTGCTGTTGTCATTTCCTATTTATTTCTGTTGACATGAATTGTTACTACGCAGACATATATTAATATTAACCAGTGAAAAATGATTGTTTTTTGCCTGTACTCATTATGAAATCAGGACCGGACTTCAGTTAGGCATTACAAATGAAGAGATTGGAGAGGAAAACTTGTCATAATTGTTATAATATGCTAAATGAAGGGAAAGGAAGATATGCAAAAAAATCCAAGGGAGTTTTCCTTTAGTTTTGAAAGATCACCTAATACTAGCTTTAGGCTTTTTAGCAGCCTTTGGGTGTCATTCATCAGTACTAAAGCTTTCTTGGGGGCACACATTTGGTGTGGGAGTTAAGTCAGTCCTTGGGATGTCTGTGTCTTGTGTTACAGTGCCAGGATTTGAATTCTGGATCCATCTCCAGTTCCAGCTTTTCTGGCAGTGTGTGTTCTGGGAGACATCAGGTGATGTCAAAAGTATCTGGGTCCCTGTCACCTATAGGAGAGACTGAGTTCCTTGCTCCTAGCTTCATCCTGACCAAGTCCTAGCTGTTTGCAGGCATTTGAGGTGTGAGGGAGTAGATAGGAGGGCTCTCTTTGCCTTTCAAATCAATAAAGTTAACATTTTTTCAAAAATGCGATTTTTATATTGAAAATGTATTTCAGAAGCAGATACTGATACATGCCTGCACACACACACACACACACACAAAATGCAAGAAACAGATATAAAGAGGACTCCCACCTGTTGGTTCACTTCCTAATTCCCACACCTACTGGTCCTGAGACTGGCTGAGTTGAGGAGTTGGGAACTCATTCCATGTTTCCCACAGGGGTGATGGGTGCCCAGATACTTGAGCCATAACCATTTCTTTCCATGTCCACAAAACAGGAAGCTGGAGTCAGGAGCCAGAAACAGGTACTCAGTTTCTTGGGCTATCACAACTGCCTTATAGGTCCACATTAATAGGAAGCTAGAGTCAGGAGCTGGATGTGGATACTTAACCCAAGTACTTGTAGTGTGGAATGAGGTGACTTTAATTGGCATGTTAACCTGTGTTTCAAAGATTTTTTCTTGTGACATCATATGTAGTTTTTTTTTTTTAAATCAGGCCTTAAGGCATTTGGATATGGCTGAAGAGCCCATGAGAGTATTTTAGGCATGGAAAGCCAAGACACTCTGGGGGGGGGGGGGGGAAGAAGACCTAAATGAAAGATCTCTGCGAGTGAGATCCCAGTGGAAAGAACAGGTCTTCAAAGAAGGAGGTACCTTTCTCTGAAGGGAGGAGAGAACCTCCACTTTGACTATGACCTTGTCTAAACAAGGTAAGAGTCGGAGAACTCAAAAGGCTTCCATAGCCTTGGCAACTCATGACTAGAGCCTAGGGCGATTACTGACGCCATAAACAAGAGTGTCACATTGTTAAGTCAACAACAGGAGTCACTGTGTACTTACTTCTCATGTGGGATCTCTCCTTAATGTGTTGTGCAATGTGAAGTAATACTATAACTAGTACTGAAACAGTATTTTTCACTTTGTGTTTCTGTGTGGGTGCAAACTGATGAAATCTTTACTTAATATATACTAAATCAATCTTCTGTATATAAAGATAATTGAAAATGAATCTTGATGTGAATGGAATGGGAGAGGGAGCGGGAGATGGGAGGGGTGGGGGTGCAAGTGGGAGGGAAGTTATGGGAGGGAAGCCATTGTAATCCATAAACTGTACTTTGGAAATTTATATTTACTAAATAAAAAAATAAAAAATTAAAATCTTTTAAAATGAAAAAAAAGATTTTTATTTAGTTATTTGACAGGTTAGAGTTACAGACAGTGAGAGAGACAGAGAGAAAAGGCTTCCTTCCATTGGTTCACTCCCCAAATGGCTTCCATGGCTGGAGCTATGCCGATCCGAAGCCAGGAGCCAGGTGCTTCTTCCTGGTCTCCCATGCAGGTGCAGGGGTTCAAGCACTTGGGCCATCCACTGCCATCCACTGCCCTCCCGGGCCACAGCAGAGAGCTGGACTGGAAGAGGGGCAGCTGGGATTAGAACCCGGTGCCCATATGGGATGCTGGTGCCGCAGGCGGAGGATTAACCTAGTGCACCGCCGTGCTGGCCCATTATATGTAGTTGTTTTTTTTTTTTCTCATGTACCATACTGTTCATGGTTAATGTTTCTGTATCTGTTATTTACTTAATGTACCTCATTTTCTTATTCTGTATTGAGTCTTTGCATTTCTTTTTTAGCAAATAGGTGAGCAGTGATGTAGGGAACATCATTTTTCTTTGTATTTTCTTTTAATTTTAATTAGTGTGTCCCAGACTCAGTGTGCTTTGTAGACACAGTTGTAAGAACTTAATGATAGTCCCTTCTGCCCTCCACCTTATTCTCTTGCACTGTTTCCTTCTCCCTTTTCTTTGTCCTTGGTTTAGTTTTTGAGAGAGCCAATTTTCAAATTAAATTACAATAAAAAGGCTTAATACTTTAACAAATAAGTAAAAAGCAAAATGATACCAGTTTAGTGAGAATATTAACAATGACTGTAAACAATAATTGAGTAGAAAAATGATCAT